TTTCCACTGTAAGGCTCTGAGATAAGATAAGATAAGAGATAGACGATAGAAGATAACATTATCTTCTCTCATCTGCTTGGAAGTGAATTTACAGCTCACGGACACTTAATATGACAAAGTCTCTGGCCTTTGTTTGATATCATTTCCGATCCGTCCTTAGCGCCGTTAGCTTTTTTATTATATAACATGAATGAAGCTGTCACATTGAACATCCTGCTGAGCCTCATTCAAACTTTAAAAAACCCCTGAATCATGGAATATTCTTATGAAACAGGCAAATCTGATTTGACTGTGTTGGATACAGCCCTACTGTGGTCTAAGTTGATTTCAGAATCCTTTTATTCTTTCAAACAACCCATTTTCAAGATTTGATCTAGTCCAACTGCCAAAATCCAATCAGATTACTTCTTAACAACTGGGCACAAAACTCTAACGCCAGTGGGAGAACTCAGGCCAAACATTGCCCTTCAACAATGTCATCAAAATGTTACATTAATGAAAATCTTTTGGAAAATGCATCCATCATTCCTCCTATAGAGCATATACCAATAAGCACCCATCTTCCGTCAGGTACGTTGGGCTGTTGTGACATTGGACCCCTGTAGTGATGTATAGAGCCACATCAGAGTCACCTTTACTAAGCCAGGTGCATCTCATTTGAAACCCTTCTTACTGATCAGAGAGGCGCGTCATCCTCCGCTCAGTTTGCTTGTCATTAGAGGTGCACTTTGTGTGTGAGTAATCAGTGATATGTGCCTCTCACCATGCATTTTTTGAGGCCTTAATAAGTTAGGTGCTAATTACAGACAGATTGGATGAGCAGATTGGATGACTTTACATAAATCGCGCCCTCAGGCCCCTGTAAATTTAGAGCTCGCCTAATAAATGTTGTGTTTTGACAGCATTTACGAAGATGGAGGAAACCAAAGCTAATTTTCAGTCGATTAGCCCTAACCTCAAATGACATTGTTGTAGCTGCAGTGTTCCCTTACCTTGCATGTAGTACAGGAAACTGTCCTTTAACAAAAACAAGTTCACTGTATATAGTCCAATATTGGTCACAGAGAAGTTTTAGAAGATTAGGGGGACAATGATAGCTAGAAGTATTTGTGTGGTTGGTTGCATTGTTAGTTTGACCATCTCTTGCCTTCTTGACACCTTCGCAACCTCTGTAATATTATACTGTTGACACATATCTGTGCAAACATATGTGCATTATGTCCATTGCGCCAAGTGAGAAGAAGCACCCAATAGTCAATGATAATCCAGACAGCTCAGTCCCTATATAACACCAGATCAAATACATGCTGAATCAGCAACTCATCACCTACAGAGTATTGGAATGGCTCCTTGACCGACGTGTTAGGTTTCTCTTTGTGCTAATAGTGAGATTAGAAATGTGTTTTAGGCTTAACACCAGTGTGGCTGCCCCGTCAGCAGCTAAAACTCATCTGAGGCTTTCAGTTAACTCCTGAACCCACAGGATTATTGTATTGATGAGTATTTCACAGCTCATTGAGCACAAAACAGCAGTGCCAGCTCAGGCACATGAATTGTGCCTCTAGAGGGTATAAATCACATTAGATAGGTGAGCTAATTTTGCAAGATTTTCTCACGAGCTAGACGTTTTACCTAGCTACCTTTCTGTAAAATGTTTGCTAATTTGTTAAAGTCTCTTGATGATTATCTTCAGGACAGACAGATTAGTGCCATGCTTTTATAAAGCGCCCAAACTCTTTGGTAAATGCAAGTAACCCAGAGCAAGGTCTTGGCGGTAGACACAAGCACCAGCAGGGAAAAAACACTTACCTGCTGCAGGACAGGTGAATCTGGTTTACATAGGCCTGAACTTTGCTTTAATTAGAACCCATTTATCCACAACATCTTGAAATCCTCCTCACCTCTGTGGTTAGTTACCTCTGTCCTCTGTTTCCTGATCTGTGGCACCTGTGTATCCTATCCATGAGAGAGAGAAAGGGATGAGTACTAGCAGAGCGAGAAAGTGGGAAATGATGGCTTTGAACCATCAATAGTGGGAGTGGTCTGTCAGCAGGAGTGTATGGCTTGACAGATGACTGTAACAAATAAGGACGGAGGTCTGGGACTGAGGGATGAAGCGAAGAAGGGGTGTGGTTATTGAATGATAGGAAGAACAGGACCTGCGAAAGAGAATGAGAGGGTAAGACTGGACCAAGATCTCTCATCCGTCCTTCGAATGATCTCTTTTTATAACATCCTTGGCTATGACAGTCCCAAAGAAGAGTTGTAGAGGAAATAAAGAAACAGGGGTATGATTATAACGACTGGATGAATCAATTGTGAGATGGGAAATTAGAGAATAAGGCGGAAAATCTGCTGTCAGGCATCAATGGGTGGTCTTTTGGGAGTGCTTTTGGTCTGGAGGAGCAACTCTCTGAGGCAAGTCAGAGACATGTTGTATATCGCTGTTTTACTGAGCCCTAATAATAGTTTCACATTCACATTTATTTATGTTTAAGTGTTGCTTTGGTACAATGCATGTCAGGAAATGATGTTTCATGCCGTTATTCTGACTTGGGAGTGTTTAGCCATGGTCTTGTATCAAATCATTTAAACAGCCCGAATTGGCTACGTCTTATGCAGTGGTATGTTTTTGGAGCATTTTGATGAAAATTAAAATCGGATACAAACCATGTATAGCTCTTTTCAAATTAACTGTACCCTTGTAATAACGTAACTATTAGTGTTATTATTGAATTTTAAAGGGATAGTCTGGATCTTTTTGATGTGGAGTTGTATGAGGTACTTAGGCATAGTCAATGTGCTACATGGCAGATGGTGGTTGGCTTCATCAGAGTCTGGAGAAGCGGGCAGGAGTACCGACACGGAAGCCAAGAAATGTATTTTAGCCACGTTAAAAAAAAAAAAAAAAAAAAAAAAATCAGTAACAGTTTAAGTGTATGCTATATTTAGAACATTTTCACCACCTTACCTTGATGTCACACTGCCCTTTCCAATGGGGAAGCATTGAATGGATTCAGTTGCCCATCAATGCTCTCGTCAAAGCCACCAGACTCCATTGATAACAACAATCATTTTAACTCTCCAAACGCGGGAGCTGCTGGTCTACCACTGCCTCAATCTGTTATTGTGTGACTTAAGTGAATCCAAACTAACCACTTTAAACGCCTAAATCCCACAATAACACAAGCCAGCAGCTCCTGTGTTCAGCATTTGAAATTATTATATTTCTCAATGGAGTCTGGCTTTGAAGAGAGCGATGTAACGACTTCAGTTCCCTGGTAATATGTCGGACAGCAATGTAAAGCAGTGACAAAATTCCAAATACAGCGTATACTTAAAATGATATTGATTTTTTTTAGGTGACTAAAATATCTTTTGTTGCTGCCGCCACCTAAAGCAGTGCATTGCCTAACTTTTCTGTTGGTACTTATGCCAGCTTCTCCAAACTGCCAGCAATGATAACTGTGGAACCATTTTGAAAATGGTTCGTTGACACTTCTGGAGTTCTTTTCATGAAATGGAAGATATTGTTGTGTCATACTTAATATGGTAATATTAGATGTAGAAATAAAGCACCAAAACGATACATGTGAAAAACTCAGCAACATTGTCTCTTTCCAGAAACAATGATGCGGTTACTCAAGATAATCCACAAACCTTGTTGTGAACAGTTTCATGGAGGAACTATTTTCTTTCTACCGAACTACGCCCCCCAACTCTATCACCACAGAGAAGGAAGCGTGCGTGTACTCATTGACAAGAGGCTCATGATGGTGACAGTGTGAGATGTAGATATGTATGGCGTCCTCCTCGGCCAAGCTGTAGTTGAGCTAGCAGTTGATGCATGCTTCCCTCTGAACGATGATACAGGTGCTCACAACAAGGTCTGTGGATTATCTTGAGTAACTGGGTTATGATTTCTAGGATGATACATTGCTGTTGAGTTTTTCAAATGTATTTTGTTGGCGCTTGAAGCACTACAAGCTGAGTGTCATCTAGTTTTAATATATTCAAGAGAGGGCAAACATCTCTAAGGCTGATACCTCCAACACTCAGAAACAACAAGAGGAAAATATGTATTTTGATTTTGTTTAAGTTAAAAACTGTTGCTCATTGCTCAATCTTGCTGCACTTCTGGACACACCCCAATCAGTGAGGTCACAGCAGATGTTTTCTATTAGTGGTTAATGATATATCTGTTTTAGTGCTACTGGCAAGGTTTTGGCAGAGAGTAAAACATGCCTGAAATTTCAATCCATTACAGCCACATGAGCACATTTCTCTGAAATCTCGTTAAGTAATAGACATAAGTAGTCAGACATAAGTAGTCAGACATCACCCCACTCAAACTTTGACTCTTACTGACACCTGAGACAAATTAGATTCTTGTCTACTTAATGAAGAAAGAGGTGATGAAGAGAATGAGTACTGCAAAGCTGAAGGAGGTATTTTAAAAATCCACACTGAGGAAGTACACTGCAGTGAAACCTACCAATTTATTGCAGAGTTCACTCTGGCAACTGTATTTTGAACAAGCATGCATATATGCCAGGGGGTCTGAGCATGACCTCATAGCATAAGACGAGAGGTATGCTCAGAAAAGTGGTAGCAACAGAGAAGCTAAATATAACCACATGCTTGGATTAAGGTCTGCTGCATTATGATTTTCTCTGAGAAAGTTTGTGTTTTTGCTTCTTCTGTTGCGACTGAAATGTGCTGCCTGCAGAACTCTCACACCTGATGAGCAACCAGTCTGACACATGGTGTGCAAATGCCAAATCCCTGGTTCAGGGGCCAAACTGTGGAAACAGATTCAAACTCCTTAAGCCTGTATCCATGGAGAGTATGTCTAATAACAAAACCTGATTTTGGCTGAGCTGAAATGTGTTGCCTCATCTTAATATTTTCTTTATCTGGCACGACTCTCAGTTGCAAGTCAACACAAAAACCCAGAAGTGTAATGAGGAAATTTCTCTCCCTGTCTTTCTTTTTTCCAGATGTGTCGGACGCAGAGGAGGAGACACAACAAGACGAACAGCCAACAAAAAAACCAAACCTAAAGACAAAACCAGAGAAGAGGAAAAGTGTAACAGAGAAAACAGCTAAGGCCAAGAAGAAGAAAAAGAATGAACAGGTGATATAATGTTTTGCACGTCCTGTGTTAAAGCTGTCAATGAGAGGGTTTTTACAGTACACCTAAAAAGAAAGCTGTTTTCTCCCAACCCACTATAGTAAAATTGTGAGGATATTATTCTGTTAGATTGAATAGATACCAGGAAATGTATCAGATTAAAAGCACAAAATCTGCCTGTAATACTAAGATAAACCGTGCTCACACTACAATCGATTAGGCAATTTTCAACAGAAGCCGGTGACATGAAGCTACACACTTATCACTGCACGACAGGCGTTATGAGCTACAAATCAAAGGTGACCTAGCCTCAACTTTTTTTTAGCCCTCCAGTGACGTGGTGAATCATCTACCAATCATATGTTTTTGTTTCTAGCTACTGTGATATTTAGCTTCGTTAGCTGAAGCTATGCTAGCATCTGGGTGTTGCGGTGCACACTGGGATGCAATGGGGCAGCGAAATGTGATATTAAGATGGGGCTCAAACATTGATTAAAAGGATAGATATATTTTCGACCAAATACAAACTTCAGATGACGTTCAGTCGAGGTGCTTTGTTGCAAGTAGCAGACGCACACAAGCCCGTCACGGCAACTCAGTGATAATGTACCTGGCCTGAGCTGGACATGCTGTAGTTTTTGTCTCTTATAGTGTGAGCACAGCATTAATTGATAAGTTGATCGACAGATTAAAAATAAATTGGCAATGATAAACAACTAATTGTTTGAGTAGAGGTGTCAGCAGAGGGGTTAGCTGGACACCAATGCAACTGGGCTGGAGAGCCACGAAAAAGGTTCACAGACTGAGATCAATACAAAAAAAAGTACGTTTATTTAGGGCATCCGTGCACAAAAAGAAAGGTGTACTTCACACTTTCATCACCTTTCTTTTTGTGCACAGATGTCCTAAATAAATTTTTGATTTTTTGTGGTCGTCCAGCCCAGTTTCATTGGTGTGCAGGTATCTCCTCTGCCGTCCTTTCTTGGTTGTCCGTTGTACCGACACACCCAAGATAAACTTTTTGTAGCCCTAAGTAGGCGCAGTTTCACAGCAGCCCTAAGACCTTGAGTAGAAGTGTCAAATAATCTCTGGTTACAGCCTCTCCATTGTAGGGATGCAACAGCATGATTACTGCATTATTACATTATTGTTAAAACACACACACACACACACACACACACATTGAAATCCTTTCATACTGAAAACCACAAATAAAATTAGCAGCACTTTATTTTTGCCTGAACACAGTACCTTATGTTAACATATAAAAACCATATCAAATATGCCTTAATATTGAAGACCACCAGTGGCCATGCATCTGGGGGACTTTTGCAAACTTTAGTTGCTGCTGGACAAAATGTACTGTGAGTTTTTCAAAGCTTGGTAATCAAACACTGTTTTAATGATAAGTAGAATTTATACCAGTAATACTAACCATCAGGAATTTTACCACGGCTTATTGTGAGACTGGTCACTCCGCTCCATTGTGAGGATTTGCTGCTTTTTTTTGTTGTTGTTGTTTATATCATCCTTGTACTGTGGAGAATATATTTGACCTTCGGAGTGTTAGTTGGACAGAACATTTGTAGACGTCACCTTGTGGATTGGGAAAGTTGGAAACATTAAATAGACCAAACTAGTAATCGAGAACTAATTAATTAATAATAATCATTATAAACAATGAATGAATGAACTCTACTTTTTACTTCTGAGGATTAATCAGGTTTATTTCATTATTTAAAATGCATACAAAACACTGTATATGCTTTGCTTGAATCGTGTGTTCTGTGTAGTTGAGTTTTATTGTCTCATCACATTGGATTTTTTCATTTTACAGCTTATTTTTTGCGCTATTATTCCCTTATCATTATATTTATTATTATCAGTGTGTATGTCTCATTTTTGCAGTAATATCTTCATTTTCTCATCATCATTATTTGTACATCATTTTTGCATTTGTGTCACCTACTCTATATGCATCTACAAATCAACCCCCAGTGACAAATGAAAGGTTGAAAGTGTTGAATTGTTTCCATAGAAAGAGTGTGTTATTCCTCAGAAGACAGACACAGATGAGGGAAAGTCACCGAAACCCAAAAGAAAGAGAAAGGTGAGTGTGGCGACATCTGCTGTTGCAAAATGCAACAACAGTCTTTAGGCTTTGAATACTACTGTACATAACTATATGCTGTTTACCAGAAGAAGAAGACAATCACAGATGTCTTGTCCTCTTCGGAGCCAAAACCAGGCTGTCCAGCAGACCTGCAGAACGTGGTGACGCAGTACTTCTCAGACAAGCGCTCTGTGATCGAGCAGGAGGAGCTGAAATTGCTGGGTGAGTCAGGGGCAAGTCCCCTTTGACTTGGGAGTTCAGTCAATATCTGCTGATCTATTGATTCACTAAGGTCACCGTCTGCCTTCCTTCATATTTCAGACTCCTGCTTCCTGTCCAGTAATGACTTGACACACACACTCTCATCATATCTGAAACAGGGTGAATGGTTCCCTAAAACTAAAACCTTCCATTGTCCGTTTACTTGGAACACACGTCTAACTTTTATTTCCTCTTTTTGCTTTTAGTTTGTCCCAAGTGGTCAAAGATTCAAAAGCAGCACACACAACAGAGTTCTGTGGTTCTGCTCATCGTCTGCAGCTCTGCTCTGCGAACCATCGAGCTCATCAAGTGAGTGACTCATCAGAGGTGTTAACTGGATTTCTTCTCTTACAACTTTTTAGTTATATTTACCTGATTTGTTTTGTTATTCCCAGGCAGCTAACAGCCTTCAAAGGTGAAGCCAAAGTACTGAAACTTTTTGCAAAACACATCAAGGTAATAGATGACATCACGAGGATGCATGTGGTTTAAGAGATTTTTGTCGGAACAATATTAACAGTTCTCTTTTTGCTTGTCTTTTCTCCGTACAGGTAGAGGAGCAGGTGAAGCTGCTGCAAAAAGGTGTCACCCACATCGGAGTGGGGACACCTGGCAGGATCAGTGCTCTTATTGAGAAAGGCAAGTGTGGAGTGTGGACACGATCATTCTCCACTTCAGTGTTTGAGGTCTTATTAATCTGTGTGAACTCTTATTCTTATCCAGAGGGTTTGAGCTTGCAGGCGTTGAAATACCTGGTTCTGGACTGGAACTGGAGGGACCAGAAGCTCCGCAGGATGGTGGACGTTCCTGAGGTGAGCTACTGCCCCCTGCAGGGCTGATACGATAGCTTGTTTTGACTTACAACAGCGCACATAAGTATATAAAGTTTTTTCTTATTGTTACTTCATTTTGATGTTTTGCCCTCACTGTGCAAAGTTTTGTTTTAATATTCAGCTGCTGAAATGGGGAAAGTTTTTTAGGGTGGCAGGGGTGGAAGAAGAAGTACTCCGACCTTTTACTTTAAAACTGGACACTATTTTCCCATGTTTTTGTGTCTAAGTGAATATTTGACAACTATTTTCCGTATTATATTTAATTTTAATCTAGAAAAACACATATACAAACAGACTAACAAACATACTCGAAACAAACTAACAAAAAGAAAAAAGATTGACTAAATATAGTAAACAAGCATAGTAATGGTGTTTGATATCACTTCAAACCTGATTTCTTTTTAGTTTAGACAGTATGATTTAAATTTTGTTTCATATTTATTCACAATATTACACCCAAGATCATCCGCGTTATCAGTGTTTTGGTTCATTTTTCAGAAAGAGAAAAATAAGTCAGATAAATTCTCAAGTAAAGAGGTAAAAATTGAACACCAAAGTATGGTTTACATTTTGTTCTACCTTGTCAATTTCAAGTGCCTTCATTATTTCAAGTGTTAATTGTAAAGAAAAATGTTATTTTGATGGTGAATTAAGGTGCCTAACCCCAGATACTCTTACATTTATCATACAAACTCAGTTTATCGTATCAAAGTCTCTCAAGGTGAATCCTCAAGACTAGTTCCCTAAGCCATGTAGAGAAACAACCAGCACTGGTGACATTTTCACAAGAATAATCCTCCTGTACAATATGTGGCAGAGCAGGAGAAGCTTTCCAACAACCTAACAGGGAAATTAATGGGTCACGTTCAATCTGAATGTTGTAAATATTACAGCACCAATAGAAGATATCCTGCCATAAAGGAACAATCTTAGGACAAAACCAGAAAGTGTGACCCAGAGTACCTTTTGCAAAGCTACATCTCTCAGTTATAGATACGTTAGAATACATTTTGTTAATCGTCTCTTTGGAATAATGTAATCTATGCATGACCTTGAACTGAATCAATTATTATTTATCATTTATAATAATTTAAACTATTTTTTAAACTGGTCCAGTATTGAGGGGAGAGCACTGCACCTGTCAGCGGTGAAACATGACGCATGTCACCACTCAGGGCATGTTCACACAGTTAATGTACATCCACTAAAAGTGCTTGTTTTTGCCACTGACAGGCTCAGAATGTATTATTAGTTTCTAAAACATTATGTAAAGGATCCCTAAAGTGACAGACCTTTTTTGAGGAGCAAGACCCTTCTTATTTGAGCAGAAACAGCCCTGAAATTGCCAAACCCACGGTTTTGCAAAAAGTATTTCAGGTGGACATTCCAGTCAAACTAGAGACCCTATATTTGGGCATCTTGCCATTGGACAATGTTACCTCTCATGAGAGATACATGTACTGCTAGCAGGAAGGCCATTACCAGAAAGTGGCTAAAGCCGGCAATACCAACAGTGGATGATTGGACTGATTTTATATATGACGTCTTTAGGATGGAAAGGATTACCTTATTTATCAGACTGCAACAGGACAGGTTTTAACAAGTTGGTTTGCATTAAACCTGTTCGTTCTTTAAGGTGAATTTCTGTCCGTTTGAGTTTTTTTATCCTATTTTTAATTGATTTTTTATCCTTGTAAAGTGAATAGAGTAACATAGGACAAACCCCAATATTCTGGTTCATATATGAAGTTCAGTTTCTTCTTCGTTTTTCTATGTTCATACTTGTATTTACATTTACTTCATCTGTCTATTTTGGCATTTGTGTTACACACTGTAACACACTTATATGTGACTTTCTGCTATAACTGTGTCCTACAGAAGGCCTGGAGAGATGGGGCCATAAGCCCTTTGAGTATGATGAAGCTGGCTGACTGGACTCTGAATTAACTAAATAAAAGGAGAATTAAAAAATAAAATAAAAAGAAATTGCCAAACCCACCGGTAAAATGTATACAGCCAACATATTTTAACATCTAACTGGGTAAATTAAAGGTTTATTTCAACCAAACCAGAGTTGGTGATTGTTGAAACAGATGAAAGATGAAAAAAGACAGATTTTGTGAGTTTTATTTTATTTCTGTCCACTTTGAATGAAGTGTGTTTTATTGTGTTTAAACTACTTATTTAAACAGAGTCTGGTGAGTTTGGTAGTAGCAATTTTGGGGCTGTTTCCAGTTCAATTCAATTTTATTTATAAAGCCCAATATCACAAATCACAGTTTGCCTCAGAGGGCTTTACAACATACAACATCCCTCTGCCCTTAGGACCCTCACAGCGGATAAGGAAAAACTCCCCCAAAAAACCCTTTAACAGGGGAAAAAACGGTAGAAACCTCAGGAAGAGCAACTGAGGAGGGATCCCTTTTCCAGGATGGACAGACGTGCAATAGATGTCGAACAGAACAGATAAACATAATAAATTAACAGTAATCCGTATGACACAATGAGATAGAAAGAGAGGGAGACAGAGAGAGAGAGAGATGCAGGACATACGGTAATGACAGTAGCTTACAACAACATTAATGAAAGTAATAATATTATAATTATAATTCTGGCTATTTTGGTACAATATGTTGAAAGTATATATTAATATCTGATAGTATACATATGTGACAATAATCATATGTATTTAATAACAGTAGAAGAAACAAAACAAAAAGGTCGACCTCTGTAGGGAACCTTTCTATAATGTTGTCAGACACTCATGATAACAATCTGAGCCTGTCAGTGGCAAAAATAAGCACTTTTAGTGGACATAAATTGATGGTGTGCTATTACCCATTAGCTGCAGCCTGTTTTGCTGCGGCTGGCTGCAGTGCACTTGCTCAATACTGGACTAATGTCAAAAAGTGTTGTCTCCCTTAGTCACTTAGACACAAAAACATGCGTCCATGTTAAAAGAAAAAAATCAAGTTACCCTTTAAGTAAAAGCAGAAATACCATGGTCTAAAAATACACCTTTTAAGAGTAAAAGTCCTGTATTGAAAATGCAGTTTAAGTCAGAGGAATTATCAGCAAAAGGCACTTTGAGTAAAGTAAAAGTACATCTTATGCATAATGGTTCCTTTTGAAGTGCTGTAGAATATTATATTATTCTGTTTAATCACGAGCAGGAGCACTTTGATGTTCTGCCTCATATTGTAGTAATGTTGTGTGTTTTTATGTAAAAAGTAATTAGTGACTGTGTCAAATAAAAGTAGTGGAGTCAAAGTATAAAGTAGCATAAAATGGAAATACAAATACTTGTGTCCTACATGAGTAAATGTAAGTTACATTCCTCCACTGCTGGGGTGGCTCTTTTTCCTAGTGACTAAATTTTTGTGTTGTACGTCATATGTTTGTGTCTATTTCAGGTCAAACTGGACTTCATGAAGCTGCTGGAGAGTGGTATCCTGAACGCTTGCAAAGAAGACAAAGTCAAAATTGGACTATTTTAACTGCACATTGTAAAGACGCCTTGATGTTTAAAACTACATACTGATGTTCCTCGCCGCACGCCGAGGGGCCTCATCCTGTTTGTTTTCCCTTTTTTGTCAGTGTGAAATCTGCGCTGTGCTTTTACTATTTTCAGAGGCTGTGTCAAATGTGCGGTGTTGTTTATTCACTGTTGTTGTCCAATGCGACGTCCCAGTGTGATGGATTGAATAAACGCACTCAGAATGAAACTCGCATCCTTTTGTTTGTGTAGTCTGACCTTGGGAAGTCTCTCCTACTGAGTGTGTGAGGTCATGAGTTTACTTGCCCACTAGGAAGTCCCATTTATCATAACATCCTTTTGATAAAGTGTTTTAAAGCAGCACGGAGGGGGACCAGAACCAACAGATTATCTCCCACAGCAAATAAAATAAAGATATAAACTACATGTCTGTCATTTTGAAGTGAGTAAACAGGAACCTGTGTTTGTCTTGTAAAAGGCAGCACAAACCACAATCGCAAAGAAACATGGAAGTAACAGAAAACAGAAAGAGGTAGTTAAGTAAAGGCTTGTGGTTAATTAGTAACAGGCCACAACGGTCTCCCACACCCTGCAAGGCCTGCTGGGAAAATCTCTTGGCAGGCGGAGTGTGTGTGTGTGTGTGTGTGTGTGTGTGTGTGTGTGTATGTGTGGGAAGCAAGATATCGCTGAAATAAAGAACAGGAAGAGGAGATAGAACAGCGCTTTCTCTGACACACTTTTTGGACCTCTCGCTGTTTTCGAGTTCCTGTTCTGTCCGTAAGCGAAAGTCCCTCTCATGGGCAAAGTGAAGGGCAAGTCTGGGACCTTGGCTCGGAGGCCAGACAACTCGGCTTTCAAGCAGCAGAGGCTACCTGCCTGGTCTCCGATGCTCACGGCTAACACTGTGCTGCCTTTCTTCTACCTAATGTCTTTGATATGCATGCTGCTGGGAGTATGGCTGCTTCTTACAGTGCAGAGCACACAGGAAATAAAGGTGAGTGTGGGCGTTTCTGAAATTTTCACTTGCTTATGTAGCAGGATTTTATCATGTGGAAATACTGCAGTAAAATACACAAAGTATATATGTGTATGTGTTTGTGTGAGAGGGACAGAGAGAGGAAGAGACCGAATGCCCCTGTGTGCAATAAAACAGGGAGTGACAAAGAGAGGAAAGATCCAAGGTTATGTTTGAGTTTGGTAAACAGGAACAGTTTAGTTGCAATTTATTCTACTCTTTAATTAACTCTCTCCTGTCTTTTTCAGCTGGACTACACTGAGGCTGGGACCTGTAATATATGTTTTGAGAAGCGTAAAAATGTGAGCAATGCAGCACAGCCCTGCAGCTGCACGGTGGTGTTCAATATTGACAAAGCATTCAAGGTAACGGTCTCTAACGTTTTACAACATAGTGTGATGAAACATCTTGGTCACCTACAAGCCTTTTCTATAAGCCTAAATGCATGTATGGTTGAAATGGGTCCTTGATTTAAGATACTTTAAATAATATATTCCAAGGTCAAGTATTAACGTTCTCACTCAGTGTTCAACATGTCCCTTTTCCACTGCTTTCATTTCTTGTCCTTGCTGAGCATTTTAACACCTCTGCTGATGATAATGCATCCTGCTACTGTTTCAGGGAGATGTCTTTTTCTACTATGGCCTCCGAAACTTCCATCAGAACCTCCGCAGATACATGGACTCCAGAGATGATGGACAGATGGTTGGCAGGAAGAAAAACTTAAAGGTAGTTACACTTTTTTCCCCTTCATTTATCAAAGTTGCATTGTTTGGACTCTTTATTCACTTTTAGTATTTTATGTATTTTATGATAGCTTGTTAAAATTGCAAGGGTACACTCCTTTGTTTGCCTTTTGATACAGTTGAGGACTAAAAAGCTTTTTAAAGTAGCAATACAACAGTGTAAAAATACAAGAAAATCATTCAAATGCATTCAAAATCTTCAAGGAAGACCTCACCACCAAAGTGACTCTTTGTGTATCAGTTACTCAGACTTTTATCTTATATTAATTTTCTCACTTGTCTCCACAGTAAACAGGCACCACATTTAAAACCATTAGTTTACAAACTCATGCAACTAGTGCAGTATGACCCAAGTGTAGAAGCTAGTCTTTTACTTAGCCACTGAGATGTTTAAACCTAGAGTGACCTGGTTGACGCTCCTGACTTGAGTTTTATTTACTGTACGCCGTGTTGAGTCCGTATTGAATCCACAGGTTGTTCTCGGTTGCAGCAAAAACAATTTATTTCCTCCATGCAAGTGTGAACAATGTTCATTTACTTCCAAAAAAGACCAAAACACTCGGCATACGGCGTGTCAAACATTTAGTCTTATAGCGGTTAAAAACCCTTTGCCCTTCAGGGTCAAACAGTGACCCTCTCACCTTTATACCTGCGCATGAGAACATCACAGTGACACCTTGTGTTCATAACAGTGAACTACCAAATAAATCTTGGATTATTTAACAAACAAATTTGGCCCCTACTCACCAGCCCCTAATTGTCAATGGTCAGCAGACATAACAATTCACACAAATTACAAAAAGGAGTCAAATTATGTTATTACACCCAAAGTACAGATTAGGGCTGGGCGATATGGCCTAAAAAAAAAAAATCTTCGATTTTTTTCACAACAAATCCGATTCATGATTTAAAATCGATTTTTTTCCCCTCCTAGTTAAAAAAAAAATAATATTTGTGGCCTGGTAGCACATACCTGGGGTCCAAAACTTTCAGCATGTGAATAAACCCCAGCTTTTCCACAGTAGCCTATATATGGGCACCATATCTCTTGCAATATACATGGCGACTGCATCTGTGATCGCTTTCCACCAGACCCCTTTCTTATCATACGGCAGTGTTTCCCCTACCATTACATTGATCACAGAAGTCGTTTAAGTTTACCTTTCCTATAGAACAGGTCTATACCTTGTCCTTTTATTAAACAAACTAAATTGCCTTATGTTACAGGCTGAGCCTGATGTGTGTGGCTCGTGTTTGTGTGTGTGTGTGTGTGTAGTTGATGTAGGAGGTATGAGACATTAGCGCGCCGGGTGTGGTGTGTGACGTCAGACAGATGCGCCCCAGGAAGAAAGTGAGGCATGTGCTATGTTGTGTACATCGAGCAGCCACAGTGAAGAAGCCTACGCAGTTCTGCATGCTGTTTTTGAGTTAGTTCCCTCTATGTAAAAGTCAGACGCTGATGAGAGAGGCTGTGCATCATCCCTGCAGTGCTGAAAATAAAGTGCCTTTCTTTAACACAGACCAAGTCCCGTTGTTTATGTGTTGTTGCCACAACGAGCTAACACAAGCTAAAGGAGCTAATGGTCTTCGGAGGTCCCTTTACTATGGTTCGGGGGTCTGCCAGCTTGGCGTTGGTAACACTTATTTATCTTATTTACACAACGGCATGTCATTTCTGTCCCTACACGGTGCGCGTCTAAAATCCTCCTCTGCTCTCTGTGTCGCACACGGCGGAGTTTGGCCCTGATGCGCACACACACACAGACACAGGTGAGCACACAAAAGCGCTGAAGAACTTGTTCCCTTTCTTGAGAACGAGTTCTTCAGTGCTCACTGCCATGTTGTTTGTGTATCAAGCGCGTGGGGGGAGGGGTGAGCCCACTCTGAACTACAGGAGCCCAGCGTGGAGCGGTGGTGGCGGATTTTAAATAGAAACTCAATTTTCATTAAAACAAATCGGCCTAAACTACAAATTCGAATTAATCGATAAAATCGATTTATCGCCCAGCCCTAGTACAGATCAACATATCTACTCTCCATGCACTAAACAAAGTTTTGTCACTGGTCACTCAATGACGCTGGATTTTGTCTGTAGTCTCACAGAACAAAGAAGTCCATGCTTATCTGGAAAAAACTCCAGAACCCTGCCAAGTGGTCATGAACCACGAGGAGTTGAAGAATTCATGACTACTACGATGTCTCCAACAGCCAAACTCCTTTTCTTCAGGTTCCATTTTTGTTTCTCTTGAAGCAAAGGCAAGAACTCCCGTATCCATCTCTTCCAGAAAAGATCTGAGAGGTACTGCACCTGCCTTCAGCGCCCTCTCATATACTAGTCATCAGGTCCTAACACTCCAGGTGGCAAAGGTGGTTTACCCTTGAGGAGAAGAAAATGGTTGGGCGTGAGCAGTTCCAAGTCATTGGGATCCTCTGAGAGCTTGGTAATTGGTCGGCAATTGAAAATGGCCTCCACTTCACAGAACACCATCTGCAGCCCATCATCATCCAATCTCTGCTGGTGTAGGACCGAGCTGAGAACTCTTCTCACCAGGCGGATCATCCGTTCCCACATACCACCATGGTGTGAACCCTGCGCCAGAACACCTTGAATCCTGTCCTGGTTCAAAGCAGCAAGAGCCTCCTTCAGTTCTCTTTTGGCCCCGATAAATTTGGTACTGTTGTCTGACTTTAGGCTTGTGATTTGTCCTCTTCTGGTGATAAAATGCCGCAAAGCATTTATCCATGCGTCTGTTTCTGGCGAAACTGCTACCTCCAGATGGACAGCTCTGCTCACCATACAGGTAAATATGACTCCATATCGCTTGCAGGTTGATCTTCCCTACCTTACTTCAGCTGGTCCTAAGCAATCTACTCCCATGTTGGTAAATAGTGGTAGATCAGGAAGAATATTTTCCTTCGGAAGATTGGCTATCTTTTGTTCCACCGCTCTTCCATTGTAGCATCTACAAAATCCACATTCAGCAATGATTTTCCTAACAGCTGAATTGGCATTGGTGATCCAAAACCTCATAGTGGACAGTGTGTCTTTGGAGAGAATGAGCATAGATCCTCTGCTCAATCTTCCACCAACTCTCAAGAGTCCATCCTCCAGGATTGGATCCAGCTTGTATATGGAACTATGTCGACTCAAGGCTTTCCCAGATTACAGTGCAGAAATCTCCTCACTGAATGTGTCGCTGACAATAACAAATGATGGCATCAATTACGTTGCAGTAGCCGCGCAAGAATAAGGAGTAAGCTTGGGAGTGCTTTTACGTCCTCAGATTCTATTGTTTGCCATGCCAAAGCCTTTTCCATGTAAGCAGTTGCAATTTTATATGGATTAATACATGTTCCTGTAGAAGGTTTTCCGCCACTGCATAGCCAAGCTCAGGAGCCATATGTTGGCAGCTGTGCACTAGCTCTTGAGGTTGATACAAACAGATAATACAGATAATACAAACAATCAGCTTCTCCTGACAATGTGTTTTTCTCTTGCTGTTTATCAAGCGCACGTTGCTGGTTTGAAACAGTTTTTAATCGTTGCACACTTTCCTTTGGATAGACATCCATTGGTTTATGGAGTGTTAATGACCTCTTTTGTGTGCCATTTTGCTGCATTGATTTGCATGTTCCAGGTTTGAACTCCTTTGCCATGGGGTTTAAGACACTGACAGATTCCTTTTTTCTTTTTTCCATTTCCACATAGGAATTCATGGCATTTGAAGGTGCCTGAGAAGAACTTTTCAGGTCGAAGGCCTGTAATACTACTAGCTTTGCAGCCGATGCGCCCAATTGAGTTTCCAATTCAAGCTGCTCTTTTTTCCTCTTCAACTGTTGTCCCTCCTCCTCCAAGGCATGTCTCGCCTTTAAAGCTGCCACTCGAGCCATGAGGGCAGTTCTCTCAGCCTCTGTCTTTACTTGAGCAGAAGATTTACTTGATCTACAACTGTTAACACTCCTTTGACTATACCATTTGCTACCTACCTTGGAGAAACCGTCTTCAGGATTAATATCAACGCCAACAATTTTATTTTCATTACCTTCATTGCATGAAACCCACCTTTTTGCATTAGCTATACACTCATTATTTGACAGCATTTTTGCTTTAAACCATTCTTCATTTTTTTCTTGTTCATCATTTCAGATTCATGCATGCCTTTTGCATCTTCACTCATCTCAATCAATTCATGAGCATTCTGTACCTCAGTTTTATCACCCTTTAACATCAAACCATGCATGGTTGGTTTTTTTTTTAAAGCATTTGCTTTGTTTAGTTTGCCTTTTCTACCATTTTGCAACCTGTCTAATTTATCGGCAAGTGCTTTATCAGTGAGCTTAACCACCCGTTTTTTGAGTTTGGGTTTCAACACCACTAACCACACTACTAGCAATTTGTCCATAAATCCTGCTAGTGACGTCCGCCACAACGTCGCAGTCTATTAATAATGATAATGCATTGGGTTTATGCCATGTTATGTGTTCACACAATTTAAATGGCCATTGAACAGTGTAGCGCTGCACATACCTCCTTCGTTCGGCGCCGTGCGATGATCCGTGGTACGACGCTCCACAGCCGGCGTTAGCATTAGCACCGTAGCTCCGCCTATACGCCCATGGATGGCCGCACACGTCCTCCAGACCGCAGCAACAATCCGCGCAGCTCCCAGCAGCTCTCCTTGTCCTCCACGTCGCCTCCGCAAGCATGAACAATGTCCATTTAGTTCCAAAAAAGACCAAAACATTTGTCATATGGCGTGTCAAACATTTAGCGCCGTGGCGATCAAGAACCCTTTGCCCTTCTGGGTCAAACACCTGACGACAACAGTGACCCGCCTACCTTTAAACCTGCGCATGAGAACGCAACAGCGACACCCTGTGTTCAAAACAGTGAATTACCAATTAAATCTTGGATTATTTAACAAACATATTTGTCTCATTTATCCAGTCGTGTGCTCAGTACTTCCTAAACATAAGCATTTTGGCGAGACTTAGACTTTGCTTAGACTTAGATTATACTGCATGGGCTGTGTGAAAGTTTGCAAATCAATGTTTTAATATAGTTTTTTATAGCTTTTGTTAAATGTGGAAAAAAATACAAAAACAGAAATTGCTCCTTTTACAAATTTTAGTCCTATCACCTCATGTGACATATCAGGCCCTTTTGTATTCTTGTATTTGTTTTTTTTTTCCAATTTGTTTTTGTGTACTGTTTTCTGAGTCTTCAGTTTGGTCATTTGGACCCTGATTAACTCAATTCATGAGGACTCGAGGTAACACATGATGGGTGGTTGATATACAAATGGTCATTTCACTGGTAAAGTACTTTCAAGTAAAGGTACTTAAGTGTTTACAGAGATGTGTACTTAAATTGTCAAAGTTAAAAATGGCATTTATGCGGCAGAATGGCCCCTCAGTGGTAAATTTTTGCATGTTATAATATTGTTTAATTATTGCTGCTTAAGCACTGCGTACGCAGCATTTTCATGTTGTAGTTGGGGAGGTTTTAACAACTCATACCTTGTTTCCTGACTAGAACCCAAGTACATACTGCGAACCCTTTATTAAAGACCAAAATGGACTCCCCATCGCCCCCTGTGGTGCTGTGGCCAACAGCATCTTCAATGGTAAGCACCATTCCTTACATACTTACCAATCATCACATTCATCCTCCACTCACTTTCCACTCTCATTTGCTTTTTAAAGGTAAACTTTGATGAGTTTCCCATGTTTTTGTGTCAAAGTGACAAATGGGAACAACCGGTTTTGAAAGTGGTCCAAGAGCATGACAGCTGTAGTTGACAGTGACAGGTTACACTGTAAACACTCGGGCAGGTTCGCTTGTCAATTTACGTTCACCATTGCAGTGTTCTTGGTTCTGTTTCAGTTTGAGACTTACTTCCCTGGTTTCTGACTTTGAGAGACAGTAGCTTATGCCCATAGATATTAATTAACTTTTCTTCAGCCATGGAAATAACATATTGGAATTACTGATTTAGGTGTTGATCCCCTTTAACTCTTCTGTTATCACAGACTCCTTCACTTTCACGTATGGTGGTCCCACTGGTCCTCGAGTCCAGGTCCCTCTGTTACGAAAGGGCATCACCTGGTACACGGACAAAAATGTGAAGTACCGCAACCCAAAGAATGAAAACATGACCCTGGCTCAGGTGTTTGAAGGTAAGTAAAGGACGTACGTAACCTTCGATCAAACACACATTCAGATCAAATTAGTGTCATTCATCACGTCTGATTTACGATTACCACATAGGCACAGCAAAGCCCCTGTACTGGCAGAAGCCTGTGTATGAACTCGATCCCCTCGACCCGACCAACAACGGCTTCATCAATGACGACCTGATCGTGTGGATGAGAGAGGCAGCCTTCCCCAACTTCAAGAAGCTCTATGGGGTTTTATACCGAGCCCAGAAACCCTTTAGTAAGGGTCTGCCTGTTGGGAACTACAGCATCGACATATCCTACAGTATCCTTTCACTGCTGTCACAGACGTGTCTTTCATGGGAACTCTGGTGTGGGTTAAAGTAGGTTACACACGTCCCATTGTGTCCATTTGTTTCCTTTGTCTTATCTGCTGTCAATCACAAGCGTATGGACAGGGACTATTTTAAGACTACAGACCAACTATTTTCCACTGAGCTCCTCTTTGTGATCACCTATTTTCAGCCTTGACCTCTGCCTCTCCAGACTTCCCAGTGCAGTACTTCCGAGGCAGAAAGGAAGTGGTGCTGACCACGCTGACCTGGTTTGGAGGTCAGAACCATTTCCTGCCCATTGCCTACCTCGTAACCAGCTGCCTGATCCTCCTGATAGCCATCGTCCTCACGGTGGCGTGGTACAAGTTTGGGAAGAACGGGAGGAACATGGAGGAATGATGGGGTAAGATGTGCTCCAGGATTACGAGGAGCGAAGAATTCACCAGCAGCTGAAAAAAGTGATAATCGTCTTGCTGATTAGAAGACAACAAATCTGAAATGACAAGAAGGTTGATGCGAATGGATGAAAGGTTAAGGATAATGGTTTTAAAAAAGTTAATTTGGTTCAAAACCACAGCAACATGTGCTGGAAACAATTGAAGACAAAAAAGTCTGACATCTGGAAAATGACTTTCCCTATCAGCTAAATGAGCCACATGTGTTAAAGCTTTTATTGTGATGATGTTGCTCTGAATAACCCACTGAAATAAAGGTGTTAGTGGAGGCTTCAGGCTTTCTTCAAATGCTGATTTTACTTAATTACGTTTTTAAATACACACCATTTTGTCCATGCACTGTTAATATTTATTAATATAATCAGAATATATTTATTGTAATTACTACTTTGGCAACTACTGAACTCCAGTCACTGTTGTGTTTAAGCTTTATCTCTTATCTCTACATGAAACTACACTGTGATAAGTGAAACAGAATACAGACGAACATCAGAGAAACCTTGTAATGCTCTTAAAATTGAATAAGAATTTTGTGGATATGGTTTTTAATTACATCACAATTAAGGCTGGTCAATGCAGCCAGTATGTTTAAGTGTGTTTTTATATGATGCTTAAAATTCTATTTTACATTATAACAAGGCGAAGAGTCTGCATCCATGCTAGCACTGAAGCTCAGCTGTGTTTTAAACTAAATGCTAATGTCTGTATGACAACATGTTCACAATGACAATGGTAACATGATGATGTTTACAACATATAATACCATGTTTACTGTCTTATTTTAGCATGTTAGCATACCAACATTTGCTGATTAGCACTTCAAGGGAAATTGGTGTTTTTCAACCTGGACTCTATTTTCCCATGTTTTTGTGTCTAATGCCCTTTTTCCACCAAACACTTTTGGTATAGTACCTTTGGAACCAAAAGTAACCCTTCAGACATGGTACTTAGACCCTAGTGTTTCCACTGCAAACACTCTTAAATGTGGGGGGAGTTGTTCTCACTCACTGCTCCGTCCAGCACTCACTGTATTTCCTCCTCTATCAGTCTCCACCATGTTCATTGTCCACAGAACGAGGCTGCTCGCCGACATTTTAATAAACAGGCTGCAGTGAGAGTCTCTCTCCATGGGATATTTAAAAATAGCAGGTTTGTGCATTTAGTCCTTCTCAGGCAAGCTCAGGGGTTTAGTGTTGGTGTAGCCCACAGGAACGATGCGTTTCTTTCTCTGAGTGAGGACTGGGATACATGCAGCTTACATAATCCGGACAAAATTAATATATATTTTTAAACACTTGAAGATCCACTTATTACTAAAAGTGTATGTCATACAATGCAATCTCTTTGGGCGATCATGCACCGTCAATTTACGTCCATTAAAAGTGCTTGTTTTTGTCACCAGCCGGCTCATATTGTATTATTGACCAATTCTCAATCAAGGATAAGTCTTGTTCTAAAATCTTACGGGCTTTTTTACATTGTAGAATTCAGCTAAATATTCAGCCATTACATTGAAAATCTTTTAGATGTCGCTAAGCTATGCTTTTTGTACTCCAACAAACTCTCCGTCCAACTCTCACTAACGTTTCCACCGTTGTTTTTCCTTCAAGTCACCTCATGAGATTTTAGAATGAGACTTCTCCTTGAGCGAGACTCACATTAACAAACAGACCAGCGAAAGGTAAAGAAACATTTAATTTCTCCATCTCTCTGTAGGATCTGTTCTGTAATGTTGTCAGACACTTCTAATAATAATCTGAGCCTGTCGATGGCAAAAAACAAGCACTTTTAATGGACATAAATCAATGATGCACAATTGCCAGTAGCAATTACACTGTAGCCTGTTTCACTGCTGCAGCTGCAGCACTCTCTGTCAATACTGGACCAATTTTAAATGTTGTCGTCTCCATCATTTACTGAGACACAAAAATATAGGAAAATAAAATCCAGGTTACCGCAGTTTATTTTTGAGCACAGCAGAGGCTGATGGAATGTGACTGGTTTGCAGGATGGGGCTGGATTAAAGTCATGGTATCCCTAAAAATGATTACAATTCATCCAGAGGGGGACATAAATGTCTGTCATTATTAAAGAACCATTAATTTTAGTACAAATTTTGTGGTAATCTATCCATTTGTTTAGATATTAAGGTCTGTAAATACCAGCTACACGTGTAGAAATGTACTGTGAACTAAAAGACAACCATTTGTACTGTCTCTGTCACGTCCTATAAAATTCTGTAAAAGACTGAAGATTGTAATAAAACAGTTTCTTTGCAAAACTCTTTATTTCTCTATATACAATCAGTGAGAGCCACATAAACACAATCCCTCTGTGACCAGGGAGCACCAAAACTCTGTTTGTACATCGCCTTGGTTATTGAGCATAATCAAAGCATGATTGGTGGCACAGCTGTGTGAATAACACCTTCCCCCCCGAGGTGAGGTTGTTATTCTGTAAAGTTATAAAGCAGCTTGTTCCATTTTTCTCCATCTGCACTCCTGCCACAGAGCGTTTGGTCAGATTAGTACCACAGGTGGGACAGGAGACGAATGCAGTCTAACTGGTGCTACAGACAACGACTGAACACATCCTATAATACAACTATAAGCTGCATCGAAACTAGTCCAACAAAACCACACAGGACTGAAGTATCGACACAGTTTACCACACATACAGATGTTGATGCACATAGATACAAAAAAATGAAACACTCAAATGCATTAAGGACAGATCAAACACTCATTTCACCACGAGACAATCACCATGATGCACAAATAAAAATCTAGAAGTTCA